GGCAGTTCAGGGTTGGGGACAGCAGGGTGGGCGGCAGGGCAGGGTGGGGGAACAGCAGAGTGGGGATCAGAGCAGGATGGAGGACACAGCAGGGTGGGAACACGGCAGGGTGGGGGATACAGCAGGCACTGAGCTGCCCTCCCCACTTCCGTTCACAGAGACTTCAACAACAACGGGACCTCCCAGTGGTGAGTTGATGTTCTCTCTCTCTCTCTCTCTCTCTCTCTCTCTCTCTCTCTCTCTCTGAGTTCTCAGAGAGTGCCTCTCCCTCCCTTCGCACAGAGCAGTGGGGCCAGCAGAGAAGGCAGCAGGGCCCAGGTGGGAGGGGGCTTTGTGGCAGGTGGGCCCTCCCCTCCCTCGTATCAAGGGGGCCCCATTGGGTAGATGCCCCCCTTTTTTATGATCCCACCACCCCAAGGTGATCTATAGACCCCGCGGGCGGCCGGGGCCTCAGGACCTACAGGCCATTCCACAGGCTTCACCTTAAAGCATTCAGCCTCAGGCTCTTCCCCAGGAGCATGTGTCCACCCTCAGGCCTAGAAGGACAGGAACCAGTGCCCCCTCAGCCCCCCGGTGTGGGGTTAGGCCCTGCATCGAGCTGCATTTGAGATTTGAGCTCTTTGCTGGCACAGGGAGCAGGGTTTGGGATAGCTGCTTTTATTAAGAGTGTTCTTTTTAATGTTAACAGAAATATAATTAGATAGTAATTAGTTAGCACTTTTGGAGTTCCTACTGTTAGATACAAAGGATTTGTATATAACATTTTTCTTTTAATGTTAACAGAAATATAATTAGATAGTAATTAGCACTTTTGGAGTTCCTACTGTTAGGTACAAAGGATTTGTATATAACATTTTTAATTTTTATCACAAGTTTGAAATGTGGGCATTGTTACTCCACCTTACAGATTAGGAGACTAAGGTTCAGAGAGGTTAAGAAACTTGCCCAAGGCTGCCCAGAGACGGTCCATGTGGCCTGCCTTGCTCCCTTGTTACTGCACCCACGGCCCCTGTCTTGTCCACTAAGAGACCTGAGATGTACACGTAGCCTTTCCCAAGGGCCTCCTTCACCCTCGGACGTGACCAGGGGGAAGGTCCCCAGGGGGGTCATGAGTTGGGAGGCCACAGAGGAGCCATGGCCGCTGAGCTGCAGGCGTGGGCGGGGCTGGGATGGGCTTCCATCAGGAAGGCTGGCAGAGGCACACCTCAGGCCACGTTTGAGCAGGAGGTGAGGAAAGGGAGGCCACACAGTGGGAGGAAGACGAAAGGCCTGAGGGGCCCCGGAGCCTGCCATGAGGTGCCAGGGCTTCTACCTCCTGCCTGCAGCCCTGAGCACGCGACCAAGGTGGCGCTGAAGGTGGTGACGCCCATCATCATCTCAGTCTTCGTGCTGGCCCTGTACCTGCACGCCCAGCAGGTGGAGTCCACCGCCCGCCTCGACTTCCTCTGGAAACTGCAGGTGGGTGGCCCTGGGGCTAGAACTGGGGTGGGGGAGGCACCCAGGCCTCACGGCACTTTGTGAGTGAGCAGCCCATCACTGGGGCTCGGCTGGGTCTTGGTGCTGCACTGACCAGGTGTCCTGCTCAGGCCTTGTCCCAACAGACCAGCACCCCACGTCCCAGCAGGTCTGCTCCCTGCTCTCTGGGGCCAGGAGGCAAAACCCCAGATCTTATTCCAGCCAAACCCACTCTGGCCAGTGCTGGGCTTGGACGGGCCCAGGAGATTTGCTCTTGTCACAAATACTGTGAGCATTTAGAGTCGTGTCGACAGAACAAGTCTGTGGTGGGAGCAGCAAGGAGGGTGGGTGAGAAGAGTGGCAGCAGGAGAGTAGGGGCACGCAGCCCTGTGTCCCGGAGGCCTTAGTGCAGGAGCCTGGCCGGGTGCAGAAGGAAGAGGACTTAATGTGACCAGAACTGAGCCTGAAGATTCTCCAGGGGGGATGAATGGGAGGGGCATCAAAGACCATGGACAGGAAGCTTGGCCAAGTGGCTGTGCCTGGGCCCTGGTGAAAGGTGTCTCAGAAAGGGCAGCAGTGGGTGCTGGGTGCCCAAGTGGGGCTGAAGTCCACCAGTGTCCTGCCTCCACGCTTCATGCCCTGCACCCTGAGGGACCCACCTGCGGGAGGGGACGCTGCTGGGCTGCTCACAGGGCGCTCCAGGTGCAGGCAGCAGCTCTGGTTACCTGGCAGACCGCCTGCAAAGGGCCAGGAGAGGGCGCCCAAGCGCACTCATAGTGCACAAGCCTGGTGTGTGCAGGTGGCCTCCGTCCTGTTATTCCGGCCCAGCTCTTGCAGGACATGGCATAGCTCGGTCTCTTTGTCTCCCCTGGCCTGGCTCCTATGTCCCGACCACTTCTCCAGCTCATCTGCAACTGGTTAGGCCTCCTCCGTCCTCATTAACGTTGAGATTGAAGTCTTCTGGCCGGGGCAGGAGCCCTGGAATTTCACTGGGTGCTGAGGGAAGATGGGGTACCTGGTTGCCCTGCTGCTGGGTGTTTTGCGTGATGTCTGGGTGAGGTTTCCACTGAGGTCTCCAGTGAGGACACCCTGAAGTTGGGGGAACAAGTGTTGCATGGGAATGGCCCTCAGAAGCCATAGATGGGGCAGATTGAAGTCTTCTGGCCGGGGCAGGAGCCCTGGAATTTCACTGGGTGCTGAGGGAAGATGGGGTACCTGGTTGCCCTGCTGCTGGGTGTTTTGCGTGATGTCTGGGTGAGGTTTCCACTGAGGTCTCCAGTGAGGACACCCTGAAGTTGGGGGAGCAAGTGTTGCATGGGAATGGCCCTCAGAAGCCCTGGATGGGGGTGTGGGGGGGGACCTCAGGGATAAGGCTGCACTGGCTCTTCTGTGCTGCAGAGAGGGGCAGGGGGCCTCCACGGGTTCCTGGTCTGAGGCCCGCCTTCATGCCCAGTCCCCATTCCCTCAGCCCTGGACTGCAGCCCAGCCCCACAGCGGTGCTGAGCGTCTGGGGAGGTTTAGAGACCAGGCTGTTCTCAGTCACCCCTCAGCGCGTCTGCAGCCCCAGAGACACGTGTCATTAATGTTTCCCTCCACACAGGAGAGACACAAGCAGACACAGGTTGATTCCACTTATTCTCCCTGACCTCCTCCGGCCCCACAGCTATGCTCCTCCCACCCTTTTTATCTTTTTGGGGGGGAGTAAGTTTTAAAAAATAATTTAAAACCTACAGAAAAGTTACAAGAACAGCATTGAGAACTCCACAGTCCCTTCATCAGATTCCCTAACCATTTTTTTCTGCATTTGCTCAATTGCCTCGCCCCCACCCTTCTGACATGATGCCCCATCACCCCCAAATTTTCTGATGTCCACCTTCAAAAAGCAAAGACACTCCATTGTCACCCCACACGACCTCCCAGTCAGGAAATCAACACTGGCGCAGCTTCATCCCACCCACAAAGCCCATTTGAATTTTGCCAGGAGTCCCAGTTCTTTTAATTTTTTTCCTCATGAGGATACATCCATCATTGAATCCATAGAAAGAGGAAGTGCCGGGGTCCAGCCCCAGCGGTCCACGGGTTCCCAAAAGGTATGGACAGAGTCGGCGAAGAATGAAGGACATGGAGACAGCGTTCAGATGATCAGCATAGCCAGGTTCTCTCTTTGTTCTAGGTACCACCCTTCTGACATGATGCCCCATCACCCCCAAATTTCCCAGTGTTCACCTTCAAAAAGCAAGGACATCCATTGTCACCCCCACCCGACCTCCCAGTCAGGAAATCAACACTGGCGCATCCCACCCACAAAGCCCATTTGCATTTTGCCAGGGGTCCCAGTTCTTTTAATTTTTTTTTCTAATTCTCACCTGAGGATTCATCCCTCATTGAATCCATAGAAAGAGGAAGGAAGAGGAGGAGGGAGGGAGGAAGGGAGGGAGGGGGGGGGAGAGAGATAAACATCAATCAGTTGCTCCACACATGTGCCCTTACCAGGAATCCTACCATGACCCTTTGCTTTGGTGCACTGGATGATGCTCCAACCACTGAGTCACATTGGCCAGGGCAGTGGTCCCAGTTCTAACCCAGGATTCTTTGCATTTAGTTCATGTCTTCTCAGTCTTTCCTGGCCTCTCAGTCCTTGCCAGTCTTAAAAAGATCCGTGTGCTGTGACCCTCAGATGCTGACATTTCCCATGTCCAGACTCAGGTCACACCTTCTTGGAGGCAAATCATGGAAATGACGCTGCTCCTTCTCAGTGCATCACACTGGGGATTCCACTGTGCTGACCTGCCCCATCCCTGGTGATGTTAACCTTGATCACCACTCAGTGGGCGACTGCTCTTTGGTGCACTGGATGATGCTCCAACCACTGAGTCACCTTGGCCAAGGCAGTGGCCCCAGACTCAGGTCACACCTTCTTGGAGGAAAATCATGGAAATGACGCTGGTCCTTCTCAGTGCATCACACTGGGGATTCCACTGTGTTGACCTGCCCCATCCCTGGTGACGTTAACCTTGATCACCACTCAGTGGGCGACTGCCGGATTTCTCCACTGTCAGAACGCCATCTTCTCTTTTGCATTCAGTTAGCGCTTTGTGGAAAGATTCTGATAGTACACCAATATTCTGATCCTCAGCAAACCTCCACCCACCAGTCTCAGCATCCATCGCGCCTCCTGCCTGCCTGGCCGTGATGACACGCGTCCGTCCTTCCTCCCACATTGTGAACCGGAGTCCTGCTATCAGGAAGCGCCTCCTCCCCACTCACTTAGTCTCTCATTAATCTGTATCAGCTCGGACTCATGGCTTCCTATCCCATTCAGAGGGCTTTACTCTGCTCCTCTCATTACTTTAATGCTTGAATTCTCCGGGGCCTGTGAGTTTCCCCAAGTTGGCTTCTGTGTTTTGACATGTCTCCATCATTCTTGGAGCATTTGCCGACTTCCTGGCACAAGCCGATGTCTCGGGCTCATCACTTACTTTCCCTGCTCCAGCCCAGCTGTCAGTGATTTCTTCAGAGGCCCCAGTTCTCTGTAGTGGAGAATGGTACTTAGAAACCAAGATCGGGGGCTCAGTGTGCTCAGTGTTCTAGGTCCTCTCTGTGGACAAAGCGAGGAAATACATGTTCGTGTATATGAACATATAAATAAAAGTACGTATAGACATATGAATACTGCCCCAGGATCTCTCTGTTGATATTTAAAACCATGAGCTTATCCCATTTCTAGTGCAACACCTCAGACTTCTTTCTAGCCTGCCTTCCTCCAAGCTTAAAAACACCATCTCTGCAAGTGAGAGACCCAGCGCCCATTGTCTTGCAGAGATTTACTCATTTGCTCCATGGAGCCAACCTCCCAACGCGTCTAGCCCCCTCTCTGCCCCACCACACCCCTCCCCTCTTCACCACCTGTGGTGTGTGTGCTGGGCGTGCCACCTGTGGCGCCCATCCTCTGACCCCTGCTTCCTCAGGCACAAGGGCTCTGCACACGGCAGGGAGCGGGGAGAGGAGGTTGGAAGGGAAACGGCTGGATCCCTCCTCCCATTTTGAAAAAAATTAAGAAGGCCTGTGCACAGATGTGTGAGTGCGAGGGTGATTGTCTACCCGCTGAGCATGTCAGCCTCTCTTCCTGGAACCTCTCCTACAGGCTCGTGATGCTTCCATGTCCCTCCATCTCCCATCCTGCTCTGGGGCTTTGGGGAGGGGGACATCAAGTCAATACCAATAGTCAAATACCTGAATGCAGGTTTTGGGGGTGGGTGGGGGACAGTCTGTTGGCCCACCCCTATCTTGCCCAACAGCCCATTTTGCTGTTGGATCTATGGTCAAGGTGGGCAGGTAGGTGCTGATAGGGAAGCGGGGAGTCCTGAGGTCCATAGCTTCCAATACCTGAATGCAGGTTTTGGGGGTGGGTGGGGGACAATCTGTTGGCCCACCCCCATCTCGCCCAGCAGCCATTTTGCTGTTGGATCTATGGTCAGGGTGGGCGGGTAGGTGCTGACAGGGAAGCTGGGAGGCCTGGGGTCCATAGCTTCTCTGAACCCCTGCACCAGGAATGCCCTTATCCGCAAGGCCCCCTCCTGGCAGAACCACTGGTCTCAGTTCTCGGGGGACAGCCCACTCTTGTCCTCCTCCCACAGCACTGACCCCTGAGCCTTCCTGCCCAGCCAGAGTCCGACCCTAAAAGCATCTGGCTGTGTTGCCCTCCTGGCAGAACCACTGGTCTCAGTTCTCGGGGGATAGCCCACTCTTGTCCTCTTCCCACAGCACTGACCCCTGAGCCTTCCTGCCCGGCCAGAGTCCGACCCTAAAGCATCTGGCTGTGTTAGCAGCTGCCCAGCATGTCTTGGGCCGAGTCCCCCAGATGGCGGAAGCACCTGGCCAGGGCCTGGGGGTTTGGCCTCTGATCCCATCCATAGCCATGTTCCCAGTGTCCCCGCCCCCAGCCTACACTTCCACTCTGCCTGCCACTCTGGCCAGCTGCTCTCTGGGAATGGCGTGGGTCACATTCCTGCCACCAGCTGGGCTGGAGTGCCACTGAGTCCCCAGGATGTGGTTGACGCTCAACCATTGAGCCACACTGGCCGGGCTCACACTCTTTTTTCTAAGTCACACATTGCTTGGCCCACCCTCTGCCGGTCCTCTGTCGCAGGCCACAGAGGAGAAGGAGGAGATGGAGGAGCTGCAGGCCTACAACCGGCGGCTGCTGCACAACATCCTGCCCAAGGACGTGGCCGCCCACTTCCTGGCCCGGGAGCGGCGCAACGACGAGCTCTACTACCAGTCGTGCGAGTGCGTGGCCGTCATGTTCGCCTCCATCGCCAACTTCTCCGAGTTCTATGTGGAGCTGGAGGCCAACAACGAGGGTGTCGAGTGCCTGCGGCTGCTCAACGAGATCATCGCCGACTTCGATGAGGTGCGGGGCGGGCTGAGGGGCACTGGGGTCCCTGGAGGGGAGGAAGTTAGGAGACCTGGTGCCCCCTCTCACCTCACCAGATAGGACCGGTGACATCAGGAGCCCTGGCCGTGGTGTCCCAGGCACCGTCCCAGGCACCTTGCATACATTCCCTCCCTATCATCATGTCATAGATGAGGAAGCTGAGGCCCACGGACATGATATGTCTTGCCTAAGGTCACTGCCAGTAAGTGGCAGGGCTGGTGTCAGCCCAGGGTGTTTGAATTTGCACCTGAGCTGCCCACTGGGGCCCTGCCTAGCTGCCTTGACAATTATTCCCATCCTCCACCCTTCCTCTCATGCCACGGAGGGCTGGACAGGGCCTCAGGCTGGGACCCAGCCTTTGAAAGTCTCAGGAAGGAGCAATTCCCAGGCTGAGGGAGGAGGCAGGACAAGATGCAAAGCCCTGAACATCGACTGCAGAAACAAAGCCATTTCGATATTTGTGTATCACACCCTTGTTGAGCTAGGACGTGCCAGGCATTGGGGCAGCCTGGACCCTGGGAGCTCACCATGCAGTGAGTGTGAGGGACAATCCCAGTGCCATCCAGGGCTCAGAAAGGAGAGGGATGAGGGAGCTGGAGCCAGCAGTGTGGGAAACAGCCCGTGGACTCCTGGCAGTGAGGTGACTGGAGTCGGCCAAGATGGGCACAGTCCCCTACAGCAGCAAGCGCTGGAGGAGGCCTGGCTCTGTCAGGGAGCTCCAGGGCCTGGCACTGAGCTGGAGCTAGAGACAGGCCCTCTGTGCGAACTGGGGAGACACAAGGGGCCACGCTGCCGCACTTCCCTGTGACCTCAGTGCCCTGGACTTGGGGGTGACCCGGTTTGGCCTTCTTCAGATCATCAGCGAGGATCGGTTTAAGCAGCTGGAAAAGATCAAGACCATCGGCAGCACCTACATGGCTGCCTCCGGCCTTAATGATTCCACCTACGACAAGGTGGGCAAGACGCACATCAAAGCTCTGGCCGACTTCGCCATGAAGCTGATGGACCAAATGAAGTACATCAACGAGCACTCCTTCAACAACTTCCAGATGAAGATTGGTGAGCTGCCTGGGAGGTCTGAGGGCTCAGAGGGGCTCCTGTCCCTCACCCCCATTCTGCATTAGTGACCCAGGCCCAAGCATAGGCTGGCATCACAGTGCGTCCCTGCCCAAGGGGGTGGGGTGGGACCCATCACCCAGAGCTCACTCCTCCCGGAGCCTAGAGGTGCCATCTCTGCATGCTGCTGTGCAGGTGACATGCCCAGGACACCTCTTTCTGAGTGCCCGCCTCACGCCCGCGTTGGGAAGGGCTGGGTGGACCCAGTGTGGGCCTGCCCGAAAGGGGTGCTGCCCCAGGGCATGGCAGCCCCATGTATTTCAAGTCAGACTGGCTTAATAGCAGCATTTTATTTAAAAGTGTTCCAAATTCATTCAGTACAAATGAAAAGCAGTGAAATGAAGTACTCATCCATTTTAAATACAAAATGAACAAACATAGTACAAGTCATTTGATTTGCAAATTTATAAAAACATTGAACATAACAGTCCTACAAAACTGTTAGCAAAATGAACATAGTGAAATATTTTAAAAACTAAACATGAAAGGAATCGTGTAAAATTGACAATGAAATGATCGTTTCAACATCTTAAAACACAAAACGGGTCAGCAGGGCTATTGCTGGGTTCCCGGGGGTTCCTGTGTGAGCACCAGCTCCTGGGGCCGGGAGAGCTTTTCTAAGCTGCGTCAGCGGCCAGAGAAACAGTGAGCCTGTCGGGTCTCCCCTGGGTCCTCTGCCCACCGCCTCGGCCCGCGGTGGGTGGCTTCGAGGGGCTTGCAGACGCCGGCGTGGTGCCCAGGGTGGGAGCTGGCTCTGAAGAGACGGAGTTCCGAGCGGAGGCCCTGAGTCTGTTTCACAGTCAGGATTCTATTCTCCTTGTGCAGAAACTCTTTGAACCAAACCCTATATAATTTTTTCGGTCTTTAATTTTGTTGTTTTATTACTCCAACCTTGTGCTCTGACAAGTCTCGGCTCTGCAGAAGAGCTGACAGAATAGCACAGTGAAAACTCACGCACATGGACACAGGCAGGCAGGCCCCACCTCCTGTAGCTGCTGGGTGATTGCAGATTACCGCTCTGGATGCGCTGCTCCATGAAGTTCAAGGTGTTTCTGCAGCTCGTTTTGTTCTTAGCATATATCTCACCAAGGACATCCCGGCAGCCAGTGTGCGTGGTTTCGGCAGTAGGGGTTTTGCTTTGCTGAGTGTTGCGGCCCTCCTCTGCTTTCTTCTTTCTTTATTTCAATTACAGTCCACACTCAGAATTGTCTTGTACTGGTTTCAGGTGTACAGCACAGTGGTTAGGCAACCATTGGCCCTACAAAGTGGTCCCCCCAATATTTCAAGCACCCACCTGGCACCATACACAGTGATTACAACATCATTGACTAGATCCCCTGCGCTGTACTTTGCATCCCCATGACTATTTTGTAACTACCCCTCTGCACTTCTCAATTCCTCCACCTTTCCCACCCAGCCCCCCACACCCCCTGCTGCCCTCCCCCTCTTGAGGGTGGTGGGGTGAAGGGTGGTGTCTGAAAGAGCAGACCTTTCTACTTTTCAGACTTCTAATGCATGATCAACTCCCTGGCATGTCTCAAGCCATAAATGATTCAGATTTCGATTTTTTTTAAAAAAGGAACACTAATTCACCAACATAAATAATGGTATCTCAGTCCTCAAAATTCGCACAGGAAACCAAAATATTGGATTGCTAACCATCAATATTGTGATTATTGATGGCCTTGGAGACATTTTGCGGGGACTGGGCTTTGTCTGAATGAACGGCCGTGGTAGCCGGGGACCCTGCACCCGGGAACTTGGCCAGGGTCTCACTTTGCACTGGTTGCTAGGAGGCCCAGACCAGAGCCAGTGGGGGGTCTGCCTCACCTGCCGTGCAGCCTGCATTTCTGTGCTAATTTCACCCCCGGTTTCGTGAAATTGCTGTTCTTATTTTCCTTGCACCCCATCTTTTCCACCTACATTGATTTATATTTTTGTAAGCTGCCTCCCCTCCTTCCTCGGGCCAGGACTGGAGACTGGGTGACAGGTAGACAAGTAGCTGGGCAGGCAGCTGGGAACCTCGGGTGGCAAAGAAATGGGCAAGTTCTGGTATGTTGGTCTAAACCTGTGGTCGGCAAACCGCGGCTCGCAAGCCACACGCGGCTCTTTGGCCTCCGGGTGGCCAGTGGTTGGCAAACTGCGGCTCTCGAGCCACATGCGCCTCTTTGGCCCCTTCAGTGTGGCTCTTCCCAAAATACCACGTGCGGGCACGCACGTACAGTGCGATTGAAACTTTGTGGCCCATGCGCAGAAGTCAGTATTTTGTGGAAGAGCCGGTATTTTGTGGAAGAGCCACACTGAAGGGGCCAAAGAGGCGCATGTGGCTCGAGAGCCGCAGTTTGCCAACCACTGGTCTAAACTGAAGGTGAAAACTTACTAATGCCACTGAGAGAGGGACGATTAGGGAAAGGCGATTAGGTGACGCATGAGGTCACTAGAAGCCTTGCAGAGGGCAGTGCTGGTGATGGCCATGCAGGAGCTGAGCATTGCCTGGGTGGTGAGGACACAGGTGCAGTGGGTGTGTGAACAGGTTCCTGTAACCTTGAGTTACGGCATTTGATAGGAGCAGAGGGTTAAGCACGGCCTTGGGGCTGGAGGACCCTGGGTATCTTCAGACCGAGAGTCCAAGGAAGAAGCCGGGCGGGGAGAGGAATGGGAGTGAGGGCCAGCGCTGGTCTGAGTCCTGATGAGCGTGCTGACTTCTGTCCCCTGCAGGGCTCAATATCGGCCCCGTGGTGGCTGGGGTGATCGGGGCCCGCAAGCCTCAGTACGACATCTGGGGCAATACGGTGAACGTGGCCAGCCGCATGGACAGCACCGGTGTGCCAGACCGCATCCAGGTGAGTGCAGGAGCGTCCACCACCCGCCACCACAACACCGGGGCCTCTGTCTGATGCTTGGTCTTTGGGACAGACCGCCCACAGTTTCCAGTCAGAATTTCATTTGACAGTGATTGGGTGGTTGGCACTGATGTCTTTGAAGCTTGGAGAACACGCTTGGGTTCAGGCTCTCAGCACCTTGGACAGATCCCCAGGCCTGTGCTCTGCCCTCTGCTGCCACAGAAGGAATGAGAGGGCATAGCCTGGCCAGGGACCCAGACATTTCCTCCTCCCACAGCCTTTGTAAGCCGCTGCTTGTGATTCCCAGGCCCGCCGCTCTTCCTCTGCGTTTCTTTGTTTTCCTCAGGGCTTTCTTGATTCGTTCTGCTTCAATCTGACAGCAGAGAAGCCTGCACTGGGCTCTAGTCCTGCACCCCACCTTCCCATACCCCAGTTCTCTGTGAGCTGTGGGCAGGCCCCTTAGCTTCCCTGGCCTCCGTTGTCTCAAATGCTAATGGAGCTTGTTTTATGGCTTCTGCTCACACTGACACCACTCATATGTCCCCTAACGTCTCTTTCCTGCAGGGACTCTGAACACAGGGGTTGGCTCTGAGCATGGCCCTGGCCAGCTCAGCCCGGCCTGCTGTCTGAGGGGCCTGGTCAATGGCCTCTCCCTCCATCCCTGTGCCAAGGGAGAAGTGATAGCAGATGGGAACTGGGGGTCGTGAGGGGAGATGAGGAGAGAGGAACGTGTGTTTGCAGAGCTCCTGACCTCACCCATGACAGGTGTGAGTGATGCTGTCAGCAACCACACAATAATCCAGCACCTCTGCTGGCAAAGAGCCTCACCATTGGCGAATACACTTGGTGACACGGCAGGGTCATCTCCCTGCAGCCCACCCAGAGGTTTCTAGCCCCGTCCTCCCTGGCCTGGTGGCTGGGCTGGGCCGGGACACTTGCCGGGGATTTGCTGCTGGCCGGCGGAGGCGTGCTGGCCGTTCTCAGAAATGGCTCTTGGATCACCTTGTGAGGCATTGGTCCTCTGCTGCTCCCGTCACCCCCGCCTCCCCCTCCCCCTGCACAAGGGTAGTGTGATGGCCGGAGCCACCTGTGAGTTCTCCTCTTTGTTCCAAAAGCTGAAGGAGAGACGGGAGGTGCGCCACGAACTGAGCCCGGCCCTGCCCGGCCTAGCGGTGTATCCTCAGGCAGTGACTCAGATGTTTTGAGCCTGAGATCATAGTACTTCACTCACAGGGTAGGTGAGGTAAGCATCCTCACTCTCCCTGTGGGTCACCTAGAATACTTCTGCTCTGTCCTGGAGGGAGACCTTGGAAAACGCCCCAGGCAGGTGGTGGTTGGGTCGGGAGTTCCTCCCACCGACTCAGCCTCTGCACTTCTCACGTGGACGATGGCCACGCTGAGCGGCACTGCAAGGGCACAGCGAGGCTCGCCGCTGCTGGCACAGCACAGAGAGGCACTTTCCTGGGCGAGCAGTGTCCGTCCCCGAGAGCCCGGGCCAGGGAGATGCCCCCGCCCGCCCTTCTGTGTCAAAGGCAGCTCTGCCCGAGGGCAGATTCACGGCTTCAGTCGTGGATGGCCTGTCCTCCCTCCTCCTTTGCCTCCTCAGGTCACCACGGACATGTACCAGGTGCTGGCTGCCAACACGTACCAGCTGGAGTGCCGGGGTGTGGTCAAGGTCAAGGGCAAAGGCGAGATGATGACCTACTTCCTCAACGGAGGGCCCCCGCTCAGTTAGCAGCTGCCAGCTGACGATGCCAGGCAGCTGGCCTCCGGAGAAACACAACGGCTTCTTTGTGTGCCGGGCGGGCCGGTGGAAGCCCGCGCCCCCGCCCAGGTGGCCGCGCCCTTGAGATTTTCCACGTTGATTCCAAAAGCAGTTTCTGCCTTCGTGGGCGGGTGGCAGCCTCTGTCCCAGGCAGGGTGCCTGCGTCCTGCGAGCACCACGCTGACCAAAGATGACTCCCTCTGGAGAAGACTCCGCTGGATGCGACCTGGATCTTGAGTTTTCTCACGGGTGCTGCTGCTGCGCGGATGGAGGAGCTCCTGGCGCGTGGATCGGCGTATGGCCACCCAGCGCCGAGGGCAGGGCTGAAGGAGAGGCCTGGGTGGGAAGAGGAGCGACTCTGGCTGGAGGGAGCCTAGGGGCCCTGAGGGGTCTGCTTTTCTATACGAGCCTTTAAACTTCAGACAGACCTGGACCCTGCCCCATGGAGGCAGCCGCCGGGCAGGAGTGCTGGCTTTGGAAGGACTGTGGCCTTCACCACAGTTCCCCCTCCACCCACACACACGCACAGACAATGCCCCTCCGCGGGGAAGAGAACTAACTGCGAGGGGGAGGCCAGAGGACTCGAAGCCAGGAGTGGCGGTTCTGAGAAAAGGAAAATATTTATTAAATAAAACAAAACCTGTTTCTGCGCCCTTCTTTAGCCTCTGCTAGTTGTCCACGTGTGAGAGACCCACGGGCAACCGGGGACGCTGCTGGGGAGGGAGGCCGGGTCCCAACGTGTCTTTTTGTATTTTTTATTTTGTATTATTGAAAACCTTGGAGATCTAACAAATATACCAAATTCTATATTTTGTAAATTCTCTATATTAGAACACAGCTGTGCTGCACAGCGGGGCGTGTGTGTGCTCATTTGTACTGTCCGTACGTCCAAGTGTGCACGGTGTGCGCGTGCGTGTGCGTCCGTGCTGTGGAACTGGCCACATACAGGACGCCTGTTTTCCTCACTTCGGATTTGGCAGTTTTGGGTTTTCCCAGGTCCAACCCGAGCAGGGAGCGTGTCCTTTTGTTCTAACGATTAAGTAGGAAGATGTGTGGACACATCGCCCCATCTCTCTCTAACACACAAACACACAGATCACTGCCCCTGGGAGAAATGCAAATGGAATAAGAAGGAAACAAAAAGCTACTCTCCCCTCTCACTCCCTGAGACCTCAGCCCTTCGCTGCCTGCAGGCGGGCCCTGGTGCTCAGCCAGGTGGAGGCGAGGAAGCCTGCCTGCCTCTCTCGATTGGCCGAGGTGCCTCTCCTGAAGATGGTCCCTCAGACTTGGAGGATAATGTGGAGCCCTTAGGTTCAGGGAAAGGGGGTGGCATTGCCCTCCACCTGCAAACCAGACAAAGGAAAGGGTAGAGCCAGCTTCAGAGTCCACAGAGCAAAGCTAGCAGAAAGTTTGGTTTGTCTGGTTTTTGTTTTTTGGGGAGGGGACAGTTCAATATACCAAGAAAAAATTTCTATTTTTATACCCTATGAAGGAGGCATTTGGAAAATGATATACTATCAGAGATATTTCCAAACAGAATCCTTGGGGCCTGTGCCCAGATCTTTTCATTGCTTCTCAGGGCAGAACAATTCTCACCTCCAACACAAGCTGGAAGGGGGTGGGGTGGCAGCTGGGTGCCAGCTGCTGGGACGTGACTCTGATGCCCACCTGCTCGCTCCACCTCTGGCTGGACACTGGCGCCAGCCTCCCCCACACCCATCGCCCACCCGTCCGAACACAGCCCTGAAGCAAGGCTATGGACCCAAAACTGCCAGCCCGAGTCTGTCGCGCCTTTGCTGTCCGCCCTGAGTTCTGCATCGGCCTCGTGCCCTCGCCGGGCTGGCTTCTCCACGTCTTGTTCTCCAGTCCCCACCCCAGCACCTGCCAGGGGTGCTGGATTTTCATTTTGCTTCCAACCTGAGTAATGTGTGTGTGTGTGTGTGTGCGCGCGCGCGCGCAGAGTTCCTCCTATGTTCCCCCTGTTGTCATGACCCCCACCGGCCTCGTGGGGGCCCATCCTCTGCCCCCCCCCCAGTGACTGGTGACCATGTGCAGTGCTGGCTTTTTATTCCCTCTAAGGGGTGTGCACTCTTTTTACTCCTGCTCTTGCAAAAACGGATACAATTATGATTTCCCATGGAAACTGAAAAGTCTATTTGAGTAATTTAACTATTAAACACTTTCACTGGTAATGTGTCCCGGTCTGATTTGCTGCTTGGGCTGGGCCGAATCCCCATCTGAAGAACCGTGCACTCAGCCCTGGGCTGGTGCTGGAGAGGGAGCTGTGGGCAGCAGGGACCCACTCGGCGAGGGGGACAGCACGCGGTGAAGGGGAGGACGTCAGCAGAGACCCCAGGCCTGTGGCAGCCTGGCCGTCCGGAGACCACTGCTGCTCTGGCAGGAGCCAGCTCCCTGAACTGAGGGGCAGGCGCCTGGGGGCAGGAGGCTGAATAAGGAGAGGAGTGAAGAGGACAGGGAGTGAGGATGGGGTCAGCAAAGATCCAGGGTCTAGGGGCGGATGTTTAAAACATGAGCCAAACATGCCTCTATGTGAAGGGAAAGGAAGTTGGAACAGGAGAGAACGCAGATTACTGAAGGCACCAAAGCAGGCGGGAGGGAGGAGATGCAGGCGGAAGGGACTGGTTTGACTTGGACAGCTAACAGGTGGCTACCACTCACTGAGCACTCGGTGCCAGACACTGGGATAAGCACCATACAGACCTCTCAGTTCATTCAAAGCAAAGCAAGCCTGGCTGCTAAGCCCATGCAAGTAACTTCCAGCATGCTCAGCTCTTCATCCCCCTCCCCCACCCGAGGAAGGGAAAGGGGCCCCTTTCAGCAGCCCCTGCCCGCTGCACCCATCACCTGCAGGATTCAGAAAAGAAGACCAGAGGGGCTTGTTCTGGTTAGGTTGGACACAGTGGGAATGAAGGGGCCAGGGAAGAAGACATCACGGGCTTCATTGCAACAGTGGCCACGTGGGGACCGAGATGTGGCAGTCTTGGGCAGAGGCAGCCTCCTGCTCCAGAGAATGGGCAGGACTTCAGATGTACATGGTGAAGGATGTAATTGTATTGAGCTTGTGTTTAACTCCACTTTTCAGGCTGGGTTTGGTCAGTTACGAAAGGAGACCAAATGCTAAGGGAGGCCAGACTACAGGGGCCAGTTGGTCTGCGTGGGAACTTCGACTCCTGAAGAACTCCCACTCTGCTGTGGGCAGTGGAGCCCAAGCCAGCAGACAGGCGCCAGGAAGCCACACGCATGTGCGCACCGGGCGACAAAGGTGTGGACTCAGGACCTTCCATCCCCTTCTCCACTGAGCGAATCCCAGAGAACACACTTGTTCTCCCTTAGAGAGCTGTGCTTTTTTCCAAAAGCATATCCATACCTAGAGTGTTAATTAGAGAAGACTCCATGATGTACCCTCATCTCCAGAAGGAGGGGACTGAGAAGGCTGGGCTATGCTGGCCCCGGCCAGTGCCACTCAGCAAAGGCCTCGCAGGAGAGGTGGAAGGGCTGGTGCTATCTATGGGGGGGGGGCACCCCACCCCCCACCATGTGAGTAAGCCTCACAGGGTATAAAGAGCCCCCACATGCGCTTTCTCACTCGCCTTTCCCCGAGGCCCAGGAGGTACATGCCCTGCAGCTGCCCTGATCCCTCGGGACGAAAGCCGTGGCACCAGCTCGTGTGCCCATCTGGTGCTGACGATCTTGGCAGAAGAGGATTTGCCACTCCTCCAGGTGACACTAGACTAGATGAAATGAGGTCCAATTACGATAGTATTATAGCTTTTCTTAGACTTGCCGATTTTCAGAAAAGTCCTTTGGTGGTGTCTTTCCTCTTGGTCGTGGGAGGAAAAATATGACATTTGCTGTCCTCTTGCCTGTCCTTCCGTCCCACCCGCAGGGTCACTGCTACTCAGGACAGACACAGGAACAAAGCCAGGCGAGGCCGCTGGTCTCCAAGGTCTCCTCCGCCTCTGGCTTCTCTGACTCCAAATATTCCTGAACTCTACCTGATCTTCAAGTGCCAGACCACATGTACGGCGAAAGCGAAAATCATCGGATTAGGATTTTAAGATTTTAGAGCCAAATGAAATGAAAGCATTGTTCCATGAGTGACCTGTGGGAAGATCACCTCCAGACCAGTCAGAAATGGCTCTGCCCTCCAGACACCAAGCCAGTAGCCACAGCTGCATGCAGCATGGCCAGGGGTCCTTTCTCAGCAAGAGCCCTGACCTAGGGGAGGGCAGGGCTGGTGGAGATCAATGCAGGCTCACAGGGCAAGCAGGGGGTCCCGAAAGACAGGGGATGTGTGAGAAAGACTATAATGAGCAGGAAAGTAGGCATCCCGTCTGCACTGGCGTGCCAGCCCCAACCCCCACCCGCCCATCTGTTTCTAATGAGTGGAGCTGAGCTACCCCCTCACTCAGCGAGCACATATTCATCCCCAAGGCCCCTTTCATATCGCTGGTGATTAGCCCATGAATTTAAAGAATTCTCACTGGAGTCCATTAGGGACCTCATCACTCCCACCTCCCCCACAACCAATTTCTAATTTAGACCCGCCTAGAAATCTCCGGTTTGTCAGCATCTCTGGTTATTTTAACTTACACTATTTTCCAATTTTGCAAAATTTGCTTCTCTGCTTTGACTTTGTCAGTTAGCTAGAGTGGCACTTCCCTGGCTTACATGGGATTTTGGGGGGCAGGGTGGAGGAGTGCATTTTGCCTCAGATTAATTTTTTGAAAGCCATGTTGCATTTCTGCTTTTTAAGAGTGCCTGAGCTCTCACACCCCCAGCATCCACATAGTTCCAATTTGTGAATTGAAGGCTGCTGGCTGCCTTCCCCACCCAACTTCCCATAATGCACAGACTACACATGCACACGCGCGCGTGCGCGTGCGCGCACACACACACTCGTGGGGGCCCTAGCAGAGTGGTGGGCACTAGGATGGTTGCCATCCAAGACTACCCCATAGATCAGGTTGGAATGTTAAAAGTAAAGGACAAAAAAAAAAAAAAGAAAAGGACGAAGGAGCCACACTGGATAAGGCAAGGTTCCCAGAGGCACCCTCCCCATTCAACAGCACTCCAGTGCTTGGGAGACGGATCCTGAAGCAGTTTATCACTTCCAGGCTGGGTGACACCAGATAACTTAATCCTGTTTCCTTTCCTCAGCTGGATTCTGTTAAGCTCACATAACCTTCCGCATGCAAAACACCAGACATACAGCAGGCACTTGGCATGAGTCCCTCAACCCCCTTCTCTCTCTGGTGTCCCCGGTGCCCTGCCCAGGGGTGTGCACACAGGAGCTTGCCAGGGCACCTGCCTGCTAGACATTTCAGCAGGATCCTCACTTAAACTGGCAATTTCTGAACAGCTCTGTGCGATGATTTATTGTACTCGGGGGCATTTGCAATTAAAATGACGCTTGCTACCTTGAAAGGAATAGTAACACCAACAAGAAAGACCACAGGCTGGTGATAAATGCGGTCCTAACACTCACGGTGCCAGATCCTGTTCTAAGTGCTTTATATTTATTGACTCATTTAATTCTCACAACTCCTTGCCCAAGGCACTATTATTACCCCCTTTATAGAAGGGGAAGCTGAGGCAGAGGTTACTGCTGTCACAGCCGGTAGAAGGGGAGTCAGGGAGTCTGGCTCCAAACCCATAACCACTATTCGATATACAGCAAATGGTTGCCTTCGTCTTTTTGCTCAACGTTCTGATAACTGGACCACTTCAAGCAGAATTCCCATGAGATTATTCCCTATCAGCGAACCAATGTATTCTGGACTTCAGCTAGGAAAAGGAAATGCCTCTGGCCCATGAACCCAGTGGGGCTTTAACACCCTGCCGAGAATTGTACATTTGTGAGCTGGTTTTACTACAAAGACAACTGTGTACCTCCTGCCCCAGAGTCTACTCTAGACACACTGAAGGGTCATCGTTCCCCTCGCAGCCATCGTCCTGTCCCTGCCACAGATGCAGGAACTTCAGAAACGGTTTTATTCGGTCTACGGCATCTACACCACAGGTTACACGCATCTCAGCATATATTCCTTAAGTGTTTCAATGTATTTCCTAGCTCAGTACTAGCTGGTGGTTAAGAGCCGTTGTTCTGAGGAAGACGGATCTGGACTGGCATCCGGGTGCACACACAGGCTAGGCGGTGGCTGTGGTCACGTTGCTTAACTTCTCTAGGCCTCAGGTGCTTCGCCTACAACACAGAAAGGCCTTCGTAAACGCTGTCTGTGGGGATAACAAGCCCAGCACACACAGTGCCATCTCCCCTCCATGCCAGCTGTTCTCACTGCGGCTGTACTGGTAAGAGCCCTGTGCTTGTCAGAAACACACACAGTTTTCTTTCTGAAAGTCTCTGTGACACAGAAAAACTGGTGTATCATTTAAACCTGAACCCCAGGTTTGAATGTGTCTTTATTTCCCCAAGTGAGCATGGGAGTTGCCCCGGCTCCTTCCTGCCTCAGCTGCCATGAGGATGAAGTGTGTAGGAGGACTCAGCCCTGGCCCAGAGAAGGTGTTAACAAGCATTCTTATTAGTTCTAGGCCCCGGAGGCATTTAAAATGAAAGGTCCTTGAGACCAGGTCCTTGACAAGGCGCCTCAGAGAAAAGCATGGGCACCAAGGAGCCCCTCGGCCAAGGCCCAGCTGGGGTGGGGCTGCCTGGAGCACCCGGGAAGTGGGATGCATGCCTCCCGTCCCGTCAGCTGGAGCCGAAGTGCTTTCTGAGGGGTGACACCTGCACTGCTGTGCTCTGGGTTGCAGGAGGAAAGGGCAAATGTGAGCCGTGGGTGAGGCTGGGCTGAAAGCCTGTGTGTTGCCAAGGAAACACCAGGAACCATTTGTAAGGCGAGGGTACTGATTACAGGAACGCTTTGGGAACGGAGCCTGTTCTCTCCGAGTTCCTACAGCCTCTAATTGTGCTGAGACTATCCCACACCAGCCCCCCCGCCCCCTCCCCCCTGTGTGGAGGACAATGCATCGCACATGCCAACACCACTCACTGTTAACGAGCAGGGAGGATACACACCACATGGCTCCCGATGTGCGGAGCTTCGACGCTGTGGTTTCAGCTGCTGCAGGGAGTCATCTGGGAAGTCTGGCCACCAACGAGGAGATGCCAGGAGAGTGGCAGCCATATGCTGCTTCTTTTGAAAAGCTCAAATGCTTACACTGGAGGCTGCAACATGCCAACATTCAATGTTGGTCCCAGAACACCGATGAAGGTGTCAGACCCCTCAAACCCTGATCAGTCATACTACATGAATTAAATTCTCAGCTGACACAGCCTTTGTACACAAGCTCATCTATGACTCTTGGAGGTGAAGGGGTTTCTTTTTATTAGCTTTTAGCTAAGATTATACTAAAGCCAGCTTAAACCAAAAATTAGGTTTGATTTTACCACAGCATTTTTAGATAGAAAGACTCCATTTCCTTAGAGAGAATAAAGCGTAAAAATACAAAAAAGGCTTGACCATAGACAAAGAAGGCAGCCCTGAAGACTGATCTATAATTTGTGGTGAGGCTAAGTGTTAATTTGGTCTGAGAGGTGGCTGCATTTGAAGTAATTCTTTTGTACATTTACCACATACTCCATGATAACTCGAACTCTTAAAGTGAACAGTCTTAAAACAAGTAGGTAAACACACACACACACACACACACACACACACACACACACACACTCACTCTCTGTCTCTAGGAAATTCAAGTTCAGGCAGGGTCCTTGGGTCACTTAGTAAACGTTTGGGGGGAAAGGCCAAGCCTTTTTGGTGGGCAGCTAACTTCAGCAGGAAGCACTTCTGTGACATGGGGGTTAAGGCCCACAGGATAAATCTGGTCTCTGTTACAGCCCTGATGAGTCAGGACTCTAATGAGATTCCAGACACGGCCTAACAGAAATGGAGCTGAGCATCTGTCCAGACTCGATTCCACTGTGAAACAGATAATCAAAGGAGAGCACATTCACTCTCCATAAGTTATAAGATACAAAGTTGGGCAAAGGTTCTCCATGTCTCCAGGCATTTGTCTCGAATGGATTTTCAAGCGTTAACATGCTTGTTCTTAGCTTAGGATAAGAATTCTTACTTATGAGAACAAAATCCTCTATAAACCACACACACACACACACACACACACACACACACACCCCCTGCCCCTGAAATGAAAACTTTTGAAAGCTGGTACAAGTTGAGGATCCAAGGCACAAACACAATATGCAATTGTGCATAAAACCAGTGAGGATTTTGTTCATTTTAGCATTTCAGAGGGTCCCCAAGTGCGAACCTTCTTATGAGGACTCATGAGGAGGAAGTGTCCCCTGCGGAGCTGGCATGCTCTGCTCTAGCCAGAGCCTTACCTGCTGGGAAGTTCAAGCATCAAAATTTGCACCTGAGAAACAGCACTGTGTTCACCCTTTTCTCCATTTTCATTGATCTTGATTTTCTCCCCTTTCTGTTCCTATTTTATTACCATTATCTTATATGCTTTTTCTAATGGTATGCTGCTTCAAATTCTTTTAGGAAAGAGGCCAGGTATAGATACATTTCAAATACAGACCAAAAACCAAACAAAAAAACTACAAGCAAATATTGCAATTACTTTAGGATATAAAGGAAAGTATCTTTCTTTGTTCTTACAGCACACCTTAATAAGAAGTGGTACATTAGAATTACCTTAAGATAATATATACCTAGATTTGACAAGAGCAGCCCTGTGCTCATTAAGAAGTCCCCAATTCCTTGAATTTTCAAGCACAGACCTATTCCCTGAATATAATTTTGGTCATCTTCATTAGTTTCCAATAGAGCCCTTGGCTGAGACCAGAAGCTGTGTGTGTGGAGCTCTGTGACCCTTGGGGAACCACTGACATCTGACTGCCTTAGTTTCCTCCTTCATAACAGAGGGCAACTACTACTTCCTCTATAGCACAACACTCACTATGGTTAGGTAAGCGCAGACTTGCTCTTAGGGGTAAAAGTGAAGTATACATGCATGATATTACTATCATACACATTAAAGGCCTATGTGATTCTTTCCCAAGAGTTTAAGGACTGCTTTTCACCCATGGCAAAAACTTCTTTTCAAATTCATAGTTTTTTAGTAACAGCATGATAGAGGCAGGGAAGTTATAGGCACACACAGAGATGCAGGCACCAAATAACGAAAGAAAGCATTTCTATACATAAAACATTATTTATACCTGTTTTCATTTTTTTACATTAAGATGTAAACATCCCCTTATCCAAAATGGCTGGTGAGAAAAACAAAACAAATCAAGCCTTTAAAGATAGCTGGTGAATTTTCAAGTGTCCTTGCTGAATGAATCCAAATATCAAACATAACAATAATTCAATGATAAGGAGAACCAACTGAACCAAACTGAGCTATAAAATATCAATATATAGCAAAATCACAATTAGAATGCTCCAACTTCCTAAATGACTATTTAAAACTATTCATATTTTAACCATTAGTTTAGAAAAACCTTTCGAAATTGAACCACTTTACTTTCCTGACTCAGTCAGTACAAAATGCCAAACACAAAACAATTTTATTTTGATGACTTAGGATCATGGGTTATCTCTCAAAAGATACATTAATTTCTGTGCCGTTTTGTTAGAGACAGAAAGTTAGAGTGAATTGGAGTTTCTTGTTTTAAATAAATCCCTGATATCATTAGCTTATTCTCTTCCTTTTGTCTCATTCTCCAAAAGAGAGAGTGTAGCAAAAAGGTTCTAGGTAAGCAGTTGTAGACATACCTACAAATCTGTAATGATTTGGGCAAACAAGGCCAATGCCTTTAACCCACTGGACTATTTCTTCTATTTAGTAAATATGCCCAATAACATGAATTACATGGAATGGGGCCACTGTTTTTCTGAATATCAAATTTTAGTACCTTATGAATTTCTTGTTTGGAATATTTTCTTTAAAAAACAAAAGAAAATAACTCATGAAGATGACTTCCAAAACCAGGGAAGTTGTAGATTTTGCTAATGGAATCAAACTGTGTTTCCTTTCATGTTTATAATGTTATCAAAGAGCAAGTAATTTCTCTAAGATACTCGGTGCTTAACTCCTCAGAGCCATAAAGGAATGAGCTGCTAGGAGAAAAGTAACCTTCTGGTCTCTTACTACAGTTCAGTGTTTCCCTAGTGCAGGACACTACCCTGGGCACACGAGATGGTTCAGGTGTCACACAACCCTGAACTAAATAATACTGCATCACAGTGAGAATGTCATTCCCTTTACCATTTTCTTCTATCCTGAGTATTCCACAGAGAGAGCCTCTGGTGGTGCTGGATAACCTCTCTCTCACTGCAACAAAGAAATAGCAGGCCTCTCCGATTCAGTGGCTTGGCGGGCATTAGCATCGGGCTAGAATCTAGTTAACATTTTTTGTTTTAACTTTGTTTTGTAGTTATCTTTTACTTATGGGAAACTGATCCTGGTTTCCCACTTGGAGAAGCTATTGGTTTCCTTTTAAATTATTTTAAAATTAAAAAAAAATTTTAAGTAAATAATAGTATGTAATACTCAAATGATTTATGTTTGGAAAACAATGGCTATAGTCTAACAAATCATATTTTTAAAAAGTGATTTCAAAAGATACTACCAACGTAATCTAAAAAGGAAACGCAGGTCACTGTACTTTCAGTACTTATGATGTTCTAGAGATGAGTTTGCTGCACCAGAGTTAAAACTCAAGCAAAAATATAAAAGAAAAAAGAACCAATTCCAGACCATTCTGGACTTCATAAACTCATGGTACCATAAATGTGCAAATAATCTTATATTCAGTAAGTCATTTGTTTGAAACAAATTTTCAATTCACTGCGGATCTTTTTATTTGGCCTGTACTAATGCCTCACAAAGGCAAACCCCGATGGGAGAGTTCCTGCTTGGTCCTCCGAAGATCAAGATATATTTGATTGAACTCTTCAGCAGGGATTCAGGTCTGCTGGCCAGGGTGCCAATGGCGCTGACGGCTCTTCCACCGGAAGGGCTCTGCAGAGAGGTCTCCTCCTCCTCGACTATAATCTCAGGGCCAACTTCCTTCTGAGAGGAGTTTGCATTCGAGGGTACCGCATGCTCACAGGCCTGCCATGTTGACTTAAACAAAAAGGACAGTTGGAGAGAAAGAAAGCAGAGCTTCTCGTTTGTGGTGAACAGCTTCCTCATCACAGTGGCAGTTAAGACATGCTCCCTCCTTTTTCCCCGGAAGCCCAGGCAATACGTTTGAAGGATGGTGTCAGACATCATAATCCGGAGCCTTACCCTGGGCTTGCCTTAGCCAGATCTGTAGTGTCACAAACGCTCCCACAGTCACGTGAAAGAAAAGCTGCCAGAGATTTCGAAGTTCATAGAGATACATGTTGCATAGACAGATTAAGCCAAAAGTCAAAAAAGATTTGACATTCCGCCAGCCAGTGTAGTAGACAAGTAAATAGCACTGTTCAAAATAGAAAATAAAAGATGATTAGGGTTATAGGAAAGAAAATAGATGCTTTTACTATAAAACTGTAACAGGACACAGAGTAAAATATGAGTGCAATTTCATCTACAGATAAAATAATGCAACATCAAGGCATTCAGCTATGAAAGGGAAACACATTTTTTTCCTTTTATGTTTTTCATTTTTCAAAAGAAAAATGGAGGAATAATTGAATGACTGCCTTGCAAACAGGCTGGGCAAATTTCTCAAGGTGACAGGCAACTAAGAAGCATTCTCAGGATTTTAGGGGGATCCATCTTTTGTATTCATCCCAGAAAAGTACAAAAAGCTCAAATAAAACATTTAGCAAAATGGACTCTTATATAACCTGAATATGAATATTACTGAAATCAGCAATATTTACTGATCTTCCCCTTCAGTGCAAGGAATTATGCTAGGAGGATATGAGTGAACATTTGAGGGAGAAGTCATTCAAAGGATGTTTACTGAGGGCCTACTTTAAGTCAGGCATTGTTCTTTAGCTTTAAGTAAACAAACAAACCCCTTGCTCACATGAAGTTTACATTCTAGAGGAGAGAAAAAGATTATAAACATAATAACAAACAGTTATGTCTTGAAAAAGATAAAATTTAAAAATGGGACAGCCCTGGCCAGTTTTCTCAGCGGTTAGGCAGCGGCTCTCAACCTGTGGATCGCGACCCCTCTGGGGGTCGAATGACCCTTTCACAGGGGTCGCCTAAGACCATTGGAAAACATATATAATTACATATTGTTTTTGTGATTAATCACTATGCTTTAATTATGTTCAATTTGTAACAATGAAATTGGGGGTCACCACAACATGAGGAACTGTATTAAAGGGTCGCGGCATTAGGAAGGTTGAGAACCACTGGGTTAGAGCACTGGCCCAAGGACCAAAGGGTCTCAGGTTTGATTCCCTGTCAAGGGCATGTACCTCAGTCGCAGGCTCAATCCCCTGCCCTGGTCAGAACGCACATAGTAGGCAACCAATCGATATGTCTCTTTCACATAGATATTTCTCTCTCCCTCCCTCCCCACTTCCCTCCACTCTAAAAAAATAATTGGAAAAAAATATCCTCTGGTGAGGATGAAAAAAAAATGGGGACAGAAGGCAGTGAGTGCCATTTTAGAAAATACCTATAATAAAGAAAGTAGTCCCTCACCCTACCCCAAATCCTGGCATTCACCTTCTCCTGCTTTATTTTTTCCTCTCATATTAATAACATACTTAAAAAATATGATTATTTTGCTTGTCATCTATATTCTTCCAATAGAATCTAAGCTTCACAAAAGGAGAGATTTTTGACTGTCTTGTCACTCATTTATCGCCAGTGCATAGAACGACACATAAGTGCTCATTAAATTTTATTGAATGAACTGATTTCTAGACACTATCTAAAATTCACAATCTGGTAAATATAGGAATTATATGTGATCACAAAGTCTTAAGAAAGAAGCAGAGGTCTCCTTATGAAATTATATCCAACCTTCAGTATAGGAAGGATATTATAGGGTATTTGTGACAATGCAGAAAGAATGTGGAAATGTTCTGTTCAATGTGTTTAATTTTTATAAAAATAGGGCTGTGCTTACTTAAAAAGAAGACTGCCATCCAAGAAAAATGCACTGGAAGCACTTACTGTACCTAAGTGGTTTGTATTGTGTTATAATAATTAGAGGAAAACCTTTTTCTTTTGAAATAATTTTAGAGAAAAGTTGCAAAAATAGTAGAGTTCCTGTATACCTTTCATCCTGCTCCCCTAATGTTATCCTCTCACATAACCATAGTATAATCAACAAACCAGGATATGAACATTGATACAGTACTATTAACTAATCTACAGGCTTTATTCAAAGTTTGCCAGTTGTCCCACTAAGGCCCTTTTTCTGGTCCAGGATTCCATATTGCATGTAGCTGTCATGCTTCCTCAAATCAGTAATAGCTCTTAAGTCTTTGCTTTTCATGACCTTGACATTCTTGAATAGTACTGATCATTTGTTTTACAGAATGTCCCTTAATTTTGGTTTGTCTGATATTTTCTTAAGATTGAAGTGAGCCCTAGCTGGTATGGCTCATTGATGCTTCTCTCTCTATCTCTCCCCCTCCCTGACACTCTCTCTAAAAATTAAAGGAGCCTGGCCGGCATGGCTCAGTGGTTGAGTGTCGACCTATGAACCAGGAGGTCACGGTTCGATTCCTGATCAGGGCACATGCTCAGGTTGTGGACTCCATCCCCAGTAGGGGGTGTGCAGACAGCAGCCAATCAGTGATTCTCTCTCATCACTGATGTTTCTCTCTCTCTCTTCCTCTCCCTACCTCTCTGAAATCAATCAATAAATAAAAAAAAATCAATGGAAAAATGCCCTCAGGTGAGGATGAACAAACAGACAAAAAAAGATTGAGTGATATGCAATTTTGGCAAAAGTACCACCATGGTGGAATGCAATGTAGTATTATTGGTGATGTTAATTGATCTTTCGGTAGGTGGTGTCTGACAGGTTTTTCCACTGTGAAGTTACCATTTTTCTCTTTGTAATTAGTATCTTATGGGAGGGGAAATAAAGACATTTTCAGGTGAAAGAAGACTAAGAGAATTTGTTGTCTACAAATGTACCCTAAAAGAATGGCTAAAGGAAGTTCTCTAAACAGAAAGGAAATAATAAAGGAAGAAACCTTAGAACATTGGGAAAGGAAAAAGAAACCACAGTAAGCAAAAACAGGTAAATATAGTAGATTCTCCTCCTCTTGAGTTTTCTAAATTATGTTTGATGGTTGAAGTGAAAATTAACACTGTCTGGAGTGGTTCTAAATATATGTAGAAGAAATATTTAAGGCAATTATATTATAAATAGAAGAGGGCAAAGTTAGGACGTAAAAGGAGGCTCAATTTCTATGCTTCACTTGAACAGGTAAAATGACAGCACCAGAAAATTATGATAACTATGTATAATGCAATACCTGAGCAACCATTTTAAAAGCTGTACAAAGAGGTACATTCAAAAACACTATAGGTAAATCAAGATGGAGTTCTAAAAAAATGTTCAAGTAACCCACAGAAAGATGGGAAAAATAAAATATAAAAATTAAAAATAGCAAAAAAATAAGATGGCAGATTTAACTCCTAACATATCAGTTAAAAGGATGAAAAGATAAGCTACAACTGGGGAAAGATATTTGCAAACTGCATAGCTGGCAATTGACTGTCTAGAATGTGTAAAGAATTCTCAAACTTGACAGTAACAAACAATCCAGTTTAAAAAAAGGCAAATAACAGGAATAGACATTTCACCCAAGAGAATATACAGATGACAAAATAAGCCTATGAAGTGATATTCAACACCATTAGCCATTAGATTAAGTGCAAATTAAAACCACAATGAGGTATAATGACATACCTATCAGAATGGCTAAAATAAAAAAAATACTGAAAACACCAAATGCTGGAGAGGATGTGGAGAAACTGGATCACTCACACATGTGGGTGGGAATATAAAATGGTATGCCACCCTGAAAAACAGTTTGTCTCTTAATAGAACTAGGTATGCAACTACCATATGACCTAGCAACTGTACTCCTAGGCATTTATCTCCGAGAAATAAAGACTTAGGTGCACACAAAAGCCTGTATGTGAATGTTTGAAGCGGCTTTATTTATAATAGCCCCAAATTGGAAAGAACTCCAATGTCCTTCAATGGATGAATAAGTTACTGTGACACATACATACCATGAAAATCTATTTAGTAATAAATAGGAACAAACCATTAATATATGCAATAACCTAGATAGATCTCCAGAGAACTATGCTGAGTAAAAAACAGCCAATCACAAAAGGTTACATACTGTACGGTTCCATTTACATAACATACTTAAAATAGGGAGATTAGAATGAAGAACACATGCAGTGGTTCTCAACTTTCTGGCCCTTTAAATACAGTTCCTGCCCTGACCGGTTTGGCTCAATGGATAGAGCGTCGGCCTGTGGACTGAAAGGCCCCAGGTTCAATTCCAGTCAAGGGCATGTACCTTGGTTGCGGGCACATCCCCAGTTGGGGGTGTGCAGGAGGCGGCTGATCAATGTTTCTCTCTCATCGATGTTTCTAACTCTCTATCCCTCTCCCTTCCTCTCTGTAAAAAATCAATAAAATATTCTAAATGAATGAATGAATGAATGAATGAATGAATACAGTTCCTCATGTTGTGACCCAACCATAAAATTATTTTCGTTGCTACTTCATAACTGTAATGTTGCTACTGTTATGAATCCTAATGTAAATATCTGATATGTAGGATGGTCTTAGGCGACCCCTGTGAAAGGGTCGTTCACCGCCAAAGGGGTTGCGACCCACAGGTTGAGAACCGCTGCATTAGAGGCTGCCAGAGATTAAGGGGCAGAGGGAAGTCGATGTGGCTATAAAAGGGCAAGACGAGGAGTCCTTGTGATAGGAATGTTCATTATCTTGACTGCATCAACATCAATATACTAGCTGTGATAGTGTTATAGTTTTGCAAGATGGAACCATTGAAGAAAACCAGGTAAAGGTTATATAGGATCTCTCTTACAACTCCAAGTGAATCCATAATTATCTCAAAACTAGTGGCCCGGTGCACAAATTTCGTGCACCGAGGATGGGG